TTTTGTTAAATTGACAGGAGGAGCAACAACCGCAGCAGCGGATTATACCACAGAAACTGTATATGTCGGAAAAGGGAGGAAGAATCGGATCGGATTTATCGACCATTTGTGTTTTACCATTCTCCAGATTGTTCATCGTTGGAGCACATGATGGTTACTTCAGAATCTGTTGTTGAAATTATACACAAATTATATACCATATAATTAATTTTACAAATTTTTGCTTCCTTTGTAATTTGTGTGTTATAATTTTATGTAAAAGGGCAAAGAGGAATGGTTTGTAAGTGGCTAATGAGTATGATCAAACGACTGATGTATTTTATATTTTTTTCCCTCTTGCTACGGGAAAAAATTACATGAGTGAGTTGTTTCTCTCTGTTTTTTACATTAATTTGATCATTTTTTTTTTCAAATAAAAACAATTTCAACCCCAAAAACTCTTGAGAACTTTTCAAAGCATAAAGATACCGATTCTGCGTCCTGTTATACAATTCCAAACACTTAAAAACGTATCACAACGATGTAAGTAAAACCATTTAAAAAGTGTTGCAAGTTTGTAACAAAAGGAATATAGACGTACGTAGAGAAGAACAAAATTTAACCCATAAAGAAAGAAAAGTAACAAAAACAGTGGCAATATTAGACGACTTTAAAACATTGAAGAAGACATCCTCTGTCTTCTTCAAGAGCTCTTATAATAAACATACTGAAAAATAAGAAAAAGAATAATTCTTTGGGAAAAAAAAATTCCTCCATTTTCATGTTCAAAGCTCAAACTCTTCGTCCCTGAGTGCCAAAGCAGCAGCTTCTTCTTCATCATCATCAACAGCAAAATACTCATTCTTTTCCTCAGGCCTAAACATATAAAACATGATCACATAGAACACCAAACTCACTATCTCCTCTGCTGCAAAACTCACCCACTGGTACTTGTAAGCCGCAATGGTTTTAAGCGCAAACACCACGATTCTCGTGAAGTATAGATACCCGATCACGACAATGTAGAACTGTCTGAACAATGTTAGCTTCGACAAGTTTCTAGCGGCTTTACCATCGGTTTTCGATGTCTCTCTCAACGATCGAATCGACCATACGATCGGGAATATAATGGCACAGCAACAAATGATATCAACAAGCAAAAACACTTGGTTCCATGTAACCCAATCTTTGATAAAAGGTCCGGTTTCACCGATCACAATCGAAGCAATGTTGGCTAATACCTGAAGTGGGATCACAATGATCAACACATTCTTCTCTTTCTCCTGCAAGAACGGCTTCAAAAAAGACCAGCCAGTTCCGATCAAGATGATCACGGTGAAGAGAAGAACCACACGAATGAACTGGAAGATGTAGAAGAGAATGTCCCAACCATGAGGCGTCCCTGTGATCTTGACGTAATGTTTGTCTTCAGCTGCACAAATCAAATTCAGGGATTTGATTAGAAGCAGACCTGCCATGAGGAGATGGATCCGATGAACGACTCGCTTGTTGGTGTAGCAAGTGTAGCTCCAGTAACCGAGGAAAGTGACGTAGCAGAGGAAGAAGAAGGAGTAGAGAGTCGGTAACTGGGTAGATCCGGCGGGTAAATAGTCTTTAGATCCGTTTGGATCTTTGTTGTACATCTCCGTATGAACCGCCATGGAAACTTTGGTTTCAGGGACGCAATTGGCGAAGAAGAGAGAGTACTCGTTCGGGGAAGTGACGGGGTAAGACTGATTGAATCGGGAATTCGGAGGTGGAGATAGATCTCTGAAGGTGAAGAGATGTGTAACGTAGTGTGAATCTAGAACGCAGAATCTAGGGTTCTGTTGGATCTCGAGGAGTACCTGGAGAAGAGATTCTTCGGAGAGGAGGAAGAATCCGAGACGAGATGGCTCTGGATTCGGATCTGAGGAAGTGGGAACGACGGAGACGGAGGAGACCGACACGGTGACGTGGCCGGTGTGAGTGAATCCGAACTTCTCGAAGAGGATCATCGGACGAGCGTCATCGGAGATAACCAGGGATTTGATCTCAGCCGTAGAAGGAGGAATCACGGCGAGGAGAGCGGCCGAGAAGAGGAGGACGACGGTGAGGGGCGTTTTCGTCATTATGTGGTGGATCGTTGAGCAGAGACGTGCAGGATCGGGATAACCGTCGGCGAGTTTGTTGCCCGATTTTTATACCCCTCACTCACTTGTCTCAGATCTGGATCAATGTA